GTACCACATACTTTAGCACTAGCGCTTACTAGTACCACATACTTTAGTACTATTGCTTACTAGTAGAAAATACTTTAGTACTAGCGCTTACTAGTACCAAATACTTTAGTACTAGTGCGTACTAGCAGAAAATACTTTAACACTAGTGCTTACTAGTAGAAAATACTTTAGTGCTGGTGCCTACTAGTAGCAAATACTTTAGTTCTATTGCTCACTAACACCAAATACTTTAGTACTATTACTCACTAGTAACCAAATACTTTACTGTTAGTACTTAGTAGTACCAAGTACCAAGTATATACTAGCCCATATTTAGATCTTCTCCTCTAATCCTAGTACTCACCCTAAACCTCCAAGCCAATTTCCATAAACCGAGCAGACAATACAGTAACATTAGGACTACCGAGTAGTCAATTGACTTTTCTTTAATTTATAATTCAGTCTGCGTATTACGAAAACAATTTCTCCAAGAATTCTTCAGTCAATTATTTGTTATCTTTCCAATAATTTTAAAAGAAGAAATCAGGAATGAATCATCTTGACCCATCTGGTACTTCCACTGCTGAAAGAATCAGATGTTGCATTACAAGTATACTCGTTAAAACTTTATCGTTTTAAAAACCCATCTTCCTTATCAAATTCAACTCGGACTTGTAAAAGTTACAACATGATAGGACTTCAATTAACCGAGTCACAATTTTCCACGATCTAGATTACCCAGAGTCTTGGTTAAATTGGAACTTAACCCCTTGTCTTATGATTTTTTTCAAATTTTTTTTGTGCTCGTGAAAATTATTTTACTGCTTCTAATTCAGTAGAAGGAGGAAAAGATTTCATGCTCATTACGTCTACATTTAGACACTGTTTATGTATCACGCGATGTATAACCAAAATTGGAATAATGGAATAAGAGTTTTATTCATTGAATATTTTCAACCATGAATAATTTGAATTTCAACCATGAATTTTAATGTAGTATTAGAGTGACTATTTACGAATTCAAAAGCTAAGGAAGCATTTCCTTTATTTTAGACGATTGCCGACGCTGAGATTAACGTATGTACAGTGACGTTCAAGAGTTCCCGGCCGAATCGTTTTCGGAATTGAGTCCATACCACATCGATGCGCCGCTATAATTAATGCAAAGATTATGACCACAAAATATTAAATATAATATGTTAACACATTGCGTATCGGCTAATTTTCCGACAACTGAATTATGCGAATTGCGATTTTCAGTGAGATCAACTTAGAACACTATATATTAAAAAACTGAGATATCATATTGTCATGTAATACATTTCAAATAGATAATTAGTCCTAATGAAATTTAATATCTTTTAAATGCTGTGCTAATTAGCGAAGTTACATAGCCAAGTACCTTTATATAAAAACGAGATTTCTCGTTGCCAGTATGCCATGTGTTAAATATTATACATTAAATTGTTATTACAATAGAAAGCAAGCATTATTTTCTTTTTTAATCACTCTGACTGGAAACCTTTGAACATGTTGAATTCTTTATTTCTAAAAAATATATATAAAAAAACCATTATCATGTAAAAAGAGTTCCAAAATAGATCCGGCTAAGAACTTTTCAACGCCACTGTATATCGTAATAATAATAATTTGCAAAAAATAGCTTTCTGGTTTCAATCTCTACTAACATTTACCCACAATTAGATATTGAAGTCAGAAAACTAGACACGTAAAAAAAGAATGCACTCTTCAAAAAACAGAAATTTCAAGGTCAATGCAATTTTTAAAAATTGTACTACGCATTTTTATTATTGTATTTTTCTAAACGAATTGAACGATTTGTATTACGTTTATTATTTATTCACAATGTGTAGACTATATTCATAAATATCATCGATCTTCGCTTATGTCTCGCGAGTGTCTAAACAATTGAATATCGCTAATTGTACAAATTTAAAGTATTAGCGCTGCATTATATGGGAGTCTACTGTACGTAAACAGACTCTATTATCCGAACGTGACCAAGGATACAGCTATTTTATCGAAACAGATAAGATCTGCAGGTGGGAATATTTGGTGAACCTCTATTATCTGAACTCGTCAGTTATCCGCACAGATTTGTCCCTCGAATTGTTCAGATAAGCGAGGTCCTAGTGCACATTTTCCTCCTACAACTCACCAAATTTAAATTATATTTCATTTTTTCGTCCATAATTCCTCAAATTCAAATTATCTCTCACTTTTTCGTTTATAATTTCCTAAATTCAAATTTCATTTTTTCGCCTACAACTTGCTAAATTCAAGTTACATTTCATTTTTCTGTCCACAACTTCCCAAATTTAAATAGTAATTCACTTTTCCGTCTACAATTCCCCGAATTCAAATTACATTTCATTTTTTCGTCTACAGTTACCCAAGTGCAAATTACATTTGATTCTTTCGTCTATATTCCCCAACTTTAAATTACATTCAATTTTTTCGTCTACAATTCCCCAAATTCAAATTACATTTGATTCTTTCGTCTATAATTCTCCAAATTCAAATTACATTTGATTCTACCGTCTGTAATTCCCCAACTTTAAATTACATTTGATTCTTTCGTCTATATTCCCCAACTTTAAATTACATTTCATTGTTCCGTCTACAACACGCCACAGTCAAATTATTACAATACATTTCATGTTTCTGTCTACAACTCGCCAAAGTCAAATTACATTTCATTTTTTTTTCTTTCTTTCTTCTTTTTTTTCATTCTTCGCCTACAACAATCCAAATTCAAATTACCTTTCATTTTTCCGTCTACAAATGGTAAAATTTACATTTCACTATTCCATCAATAATTCCACGACTTTAAGTAACTTTAAATAACATGTCTACAGCTCATCGAATTCAAGTTACATTTCATTACTTCGTCGAACTGCACAAACTAACGGTGCAAAGAATGATGCAGCAATATACATTAATTGTTTTAAGTTGCTCATAAAATAAAAAATCAAGTAAACATTATAGAATGTATTTCATTTTATTGTTACAGGTGTAGCTGTAACCTAACTAACACGTAAAATGTATAAAATACTACGTTCAAGAAATAACCTTTATTATTGGCACAATTTTAGCATAGCCAAAAGAACATTTGTTATTTCGTGGCTCCAAAGTACTGTAAGACAATTTGTTTTAAATATAAAAAGTTAAAAGTCGATCAACTGCATTGACAATAAAAACTTAGAAAATTCAAATAGTTAAGTTAACTTCTTGCCATAAAATATTATATCAGGCTCGTGATCTCTAATTAAAATTAACAAAAATAAATAAATCCCAGTTCTCCTGAGTCCAAATAAATATTATATTTCTGTTAGCAACTATTATACTTTAACCTGTAAGTATAAACGTGAATTCAACCTTTAAATATAGAACTCTGAAAATTACCGAATAATGTTAAATAATCTAGTTTTTAGCAACTAGTAAAACAGTTTACTAAATTCATTTGTTTTTACTCATTTAAATATCTCTACATATCAACAGTCACAACTACATAATTCCACAAAACACAAAGTAAAGAAAAATGATGCAAATACATTGATTTTAAAAATTTTCCTTTAGATACAAAATCAAAAAACCATTATAGAAAGTATTTTACTTTATTATAACAGATACAGCTTTATTCCAATAAACATGTGAAATCCATAAAATAGTAAATCTTCGAAGTAATTTCTATTATTATTGCAATTTTTAGACGGTCAAAAGACTTTTTATTATTTCGCGATAGCAAACTCAGTCAAAATCTCACTAATCTCAAAATTCACAATATTTTATTTAGAGATCTATGAGACCGCGCGTCCACGCGTAAAAGTTAAAGTAAACGTGGATACAGAGCAATACGGAGTCTCCTTTCTCCGAATTAAATTACAAACCACAAATTATTTCTTGCCGGTGCAGCTATAAAATAAATCGTAGGTTAAGGCGCCAATCAATTCGGCCAATCAGCGACCGATTTCTTTCTTCCATCTCGAACTTCATCCTTCACAACGCATCGAGCCCGTTCCATCCCCTAATCACAGCGCAAAAAACGCGAGCTACCTTCGCTGCAGCTCTCTATTCGATCAGCTTATTCCTCGGAACGAAAGGTCTTTTCACGTTGGTCAATGGACGATAAAGGCGAGACACGATCGAGGGGTGGGTTGGGTGGAAGGAATAGAGGTGTGCGGAGCAAGCTCGGCCGACCGACAACGGAGCCTGAAAAGGCTCCAAAGAGCGGAAGCGGACGAGGGCCAGTGTCTATCCCGGTCGCCAGGCTCTACGCAACGTGGCATCATCTCGGTCGGTGCACGCAGCGCGCGGCTAGAAAAGTTATTCACCCCGAATCGATCCGTCCGATTGTCGAGCCGATGAAAGCCGTCGTAAGTAGTTAA